TATGTTGTGTTGTGATGGTGACAGAGCAGAGCAATTCAAATACTGCGCCTTCACAGTCATCTGCCTCATGACAGGAAGTAGTCTTCTGGCTCGGCTTGGGTTTGTCTTTGCTACAGCACACTATTTCTAGGTGGTGGTATCGAGTGCAGGTCTGGCATTTGTGTCCAAAGGCGGGGCAATCTCTCTTACGAATGCGTAGAGGAGCAGCCTTGCCATGGCCAGTTTTTCCGCAGTAGCCACAGGGGTCCTGGGGTGGTTTTTCGGCAGGGGTGGAGGTCTCTTTTTTCTTGCGTCGGTAAGTGCTACCGATGGCCTCAGCTGCTTGGGATTCTTGTAAGCGAGATGCAGAGCGCTTCCCTGCTTCTTTTGCTTCCACAAATTGGAGGACTTCCTCCAGTGTCATGTCCTGGTTCTTATCCCCTAAAAGGTCTATTTGGATCTCAGAGTCTGCTAGTCCACGGGTTAGAACATCACGGGTCATCTCCTCCATGTAGCTTACAGCAGTGTTGCAAATGGGGCATGAGACAGAAAATTTGCACACTCCTGCCTGGCCTTTTAGACGGGCTCCATAGTTGCGGACAGGTTCATCTCTGTCTTGGCGCATGTTCTGTAGTGTCACTCTAGCCACCATTGTGTTCTCTGTGCGTACCGCTAATGCTTTGATTGTGGCCATCACCTCATCAACAGATTTGTTTGCAAGGCTCCCACCTGCTGTCCTAGTTAGGTCTTTTCGCAAGGGGTCATCACAACATTTCAGCAATTGGATAACCCTGTCTTTGCCAGCTATTTTTGTTGCATCAGCATATTCTGTCCATCTGGACTGAAAGTATGACCACTCTTCGCTGGTACCGCAGGCTGATATTGTGGGCCGCTTGGCTTTCTCCACTTTGGCTGCAGTAACAGGAGCGTTGGTATGAACAGAGCTGTGTGTGGTGAGTAGGGCTGCTACGATAGTGGCGTCAAGGTCATCTGTGGTGTAGTCACAGCCTTCTATTGGACACTGGACTGCCGGCATGCTGTCAGGTATGAGATAGCGATCATAAATAAGTACACTGTACTATTTGTCTTCAAGCGTTTATTGGTCCAACTTGACAATGATCGCTATCTGAAACAGAAGATAAATTACATAAGTCTACATGAATAATAATCCTATATTTATTGTGATCACTGTATATATATATATATATATATATATATATATATATATATATATATGGAAGTTTGGCATAGTCAAACGTTTATTTATGGCTTACACAGTTTTGGCTTACACAGTTTTGGCTTACAGTTGGCCTCTTTGCAACCCCACAATTTGAAATATGTGCACTATTTGTGTGGCATTATAATTTTAATGTAGATACTTCTGGCGCACACATAATGTTTATATCATCTATCAACATAATTCAGTGTTTATTAATAATACGCTTTATTTCTTTTATTAATGGGACTTCTAATAAAAGCGGCCATCATCGGCCAAATTTCAAACATCATACTTGAGTTTGTTCCATTCTTTTAAAGGACTGATCCTAGTTCTAACATCAGCTTAGATCAAGGAGACATAAATATATATACCAACACAGACAACGACAAAACGGAATGGAAACAGCAATCAGGGTATAAACAGACACATAAACTATGCTTACAGCAACAACACCAACATGCACGTTCATAATAATGATTAAAAACATATAGACTTAAAAAACTGCTTACAGATTGCTCAAAATAAATATAAACACAAAGAGTGACAACACTAATATGCACATTAATCAAATTAATTATGTGCAGACACAAACAATTATGACACAATCATACACAATGATCAAAATAAATATTAACATGTGAAGTGACAAGAGTAACATGCACCGTAATAAGAATGAACACAAGGAAAAAGAGTGAAAACATGGNGAGCTTCCCTGCTTCTTTTGCTTCCACAAATTGGAGGACTTCCTCCAATGTCATGTCCTGGTTCTTATCCCCTAAAAGGTCTATTTGGATCTCAGAGTCTGCTAGTCCACGGGTTAGAACATCACGGGTCATCTCCTCTATGTAGCTTACAGCAGTGTTGCAACTGGGGCATGAGACAGAAAATTTGCATACTCCTGCCTGGCCTTTTAGACAGGCTCCATAGTTGCGGACAGGTTCATCTCTGTCTTGGCGCATGTTCTGTAGTGTCACTCTAGCCACCATTGTGTTCTCTGTGCGTACAGCTAATGCTTTGATTGCGGCCATCACCTCATCAACGGATTTGTTTGCAAGGCTTCCACCTGCTGTCCTAGTTAGGTCTTTTCGCAAGGGGTCATCACAACATTCCAGCAATTGGATAACCCTGTCTTTGCCAGCTATCTTTGTTGCATCGGCATATTCTGTCCATCTGGACTGAAAGTATGACCACTCTTCACTGGTACCGCAGGCTGATATTGTGGGCTGCTTGACTTTCTCCACTTTGGCTGCAGTAACAGGAGCGTTGGTATGAACAGAGCTGCGTGTGGTGAGTAGGGCTGCTACGATAGTGGCATCAAGGTCATCTGTGGTGTAGTCACAGCCTTCTATTGGGCACTGGACCGCCGGCATGTTGCCAGGTATGGGATAGCGATCATAAATAAGTACACTGCACTATTTGTCGTTAAGCGTTTATTGGTCCAACTTGACAATGATCGCTATCTGAAACAGAAGGTAAATTACATAAGTCTACATAAATAATTATCCTATACCGACCAGATATCCAATTTTTGTTCCATTTAAAATTCTCACACTGCATAAGTCCAGGAGTTTCTTACCAAAATTGTTCACCTTGTGAGAGTCCATATTGTTTCTAAAACCTGGTAAATCACAGGAATAAAACCCATTAGCTATGGGTATATGATTTACAGAGTCCTCCTGCACAAAGAACTGTTGGCAACTTGAGTTATTTCATCGTGGAGAGAGTCAAACATGTCTACATTGGTGCGTACACAGTAAGTCAAGGGCAATATAACTTTAACAACATCTAATAGAAAAATGCCTAATCAACCCTTTAAACTCATTCACTAAATCATAACTTTTGCAATGCCATGCCTGTCATTTAAAAAGATTATTATCAGGATGTATCAAAAACAGTCATGAAATCAAGGGTTGTGGTAAATTAAACATGGCTCCTACTAGTATAATCTTGAGTTTGCTAGTTAATTTTCACAAAAAGATAAAAACACAGTATATAATGTATTTTTACTATTTTTATGATGATATTCACTAACTTTTTTTTCTTCTATTATATTGAAAGTCAATCTTATCTAGTCAAGTTTTTATCTTGCTTATAGTCATATTTTACTTGACCTTGGCTTCATGCTCAATCACACTTTAAGCCTAAGGTTTAACAGTCAACTGTTAGAGAATGCCCTACTCCACCAACCACAGATTCAACAAGTGTGAATGTCTTTTGTTAGCCTGGCACCTAACATTAAATAAGTTATAATTTATAATGTATACTTCCCTTTTAGCCAACAAAGAAACAAGAATACAGAATGCAATCACTGTTTAGTCTCTTTCTTTTAAAACTATGATCAATTGCTTGCCAAAATGTTTCTTCAAATGCAGTTAAATCTCAAAAAAAAAAAAAAAAAAAAAAACATTTCCTTTCATTTTTGGTTTGTGGTTTATTAAATATTATTTATATAATTTTATCTGTCTCTTACTGTGTTACTTGAACAAATGGATATTTGTTGAATAATTGTTTATTTCAGGTGATCCTAGAGAGTAAACAACATACAGAACCTGGCATGACAAGACTGGAAGGGACAGACTTTGCTGTGAATATCTATAGTTGGTGGCTCATAGAAACTTTCACAAAGTGTACCAAAATGTCAAGTAACTTTGTGATAAAGAAGTTACTAGAGAGTTTTTTCAGCCCTTTATATGAACGATAAACACTTGAACTTGATTTTAGGACTTATCAAACAGTAATGTGTATATTGATGTTTTTTGTCCTCCACATGGATCTTTAAGATTTGGATGTTAAGCTTTGTGCACAGTGTGGTGAATTTGTAGGACTTTATGGTATACTCTTTTTTAGATGGATGGAGCAGGACAGAATGAGTAAAGAAGAGAAATGTTGCAGAGAGACCTAAAGAAGAGAAATATGGACATGGCTTGGATATTGCTGATTTTGTTCGATTTTTTAATTTGATTAATAAATCACAAAATATGACTGTAATTTCTTGTTTGTTGTTGATAAACAGATTTATCAATATTTCTGTTCAATGACAGTACAGATGGTAGGCGTGCAAAAAGTACAGTGAAGCCGTACGAGACGGGCTGGGACTAAAACCATGAGTACCTCCAGCATACACACTGGTGGCACTAATAAATACATTGTAAATAACTCATAGAAATATAATAAATACTATTTTCCCACCAAAATGGTGGTTATTGCAATTTTTCTGGAATGTGTGGTTGCCAGTGGACCATCACAGATGGCTAACCTCTGTTACAATCTCTTAAGAGATGCGGGAAACACTAAATATTCTTTTGGGTAAAGTGCTTTTTCATGTAAGGATAGACAAAATTATATTAATATTTGGTTGACATTTTATCATGTCATATGATTTTTTCTTAAAACATATTTCATTCATGATATATGTATGACTGTCATTTGTCATCTAAAATCAGATAAGAGTAGACACTCACCTTTTTATTTATGTTTTACAACAATAATAATGATAATCACTTTAAGTTACTGTTGTACATATAATGATTCCTCTTAGATAAAGTGCATAAGGTGTGTGTGCTGCAGGTAATAAAGAGACCCTCAATTTGGAACTAAAAAAATGTTGCGAACCAGGCAAAATTAATTTTATTTTAAATGACATTATAACTGTATTTCAGCATATTAATTTTTCTCATAAAATTAACTTAGAGGGCTATTTTATTACTTCACTTGCACCGTTTTGTTCAAATCTTACAATTATTTTTCTCCAAAATTGTATAAAAATGAAGACATAAATACAGTACAGTATTATACCCTTGATTTAGATGCTAGTTCACATGAATTGTTAACAAGTCCATCAGCAAACACCATTTTCAAAAAAATACTAACAGCATCCTATATTTGCAACTTATATAAATGGTAATAATACAAATATATTTTTAAAATTGTTATGGAATGCCCAATGTTATGCAAAAGTTTCATCCAATAATCTGTATATATAATATTTGATAGAAGTACAAGTATATATAATAGTAACATAATTTCCAGGATTTGATACACATATACCAGCTGCAGCCTCTTATGGAATTATACTGGATCTATTATCATGCTTGTAAATAAGACATGTCACACTTATAATCACTGGACCAGTTAAGATTCCTGTTTGCACTTGTATAATTTATAAGTCATAAGTGTTGCATTATGAGATAATTAACCTGATCTTATGCCCAACAGGTATTATTTTGAGGTGCCTTTTGTCTGCAACAACTGAAAATCAAGAAAAAGATAAATTGTTATCATAGCCCACATCAAACCAAAGGGCAAACTCAGTGGCATTTCCAGACAGACGTACATAACCTATCTATTTTGGAAGCTACAAAGAGTCTGGAATTTTAAGTATCAAAAACAGTGAGATCCTCAAAGGCTTTCTCTGGGCACAGTCAACTTTAAGGCAATTAAATGAATTTGCTAACTCAATCCATACATTTTAATATTAATGCATGTCCGGAAAATAAATAATGTCCATTATGTCTTTCTTAGAATTACATTTTTAGTATTTTAAATGTAACTTCCAACTCTTACTTGTAAAAAATATTATAATTCTCATAATCATTATTTTAAGAAAATTAAATTCCTGTATTTCCTAAACTGAGAGTGGCTATGTTTAGCCTAAGCTTTAAAATGTCTGGCTGGCAGATCTTTGTCCAACCCTTATTCCAACAGGTGCTCCACTTTCTGAATAAAATTTTAAAAATAATAACAAAATCATTTATATAATAAGAAAAAAAGGAAAACCCCCACACTAAGTAATAAATAAATAATTTATTTTCATTGCCCTATGAATGTTTCACTTGGGGGCTCTTCAGTGGTGTACAAGTTTAGGACTTATATTGAAATGTGTGCTTCCTAGGTAACATAACTCACATGTACATATATACACCATAGCCCACAAGTGTAGCCATCTAGTTTTTTTTTGTGGTCAATGGTGACAAACTGGCACCCAATTTCTTTTCTTCTGGAAAAGTTGCTGAAAATGCATTACAAGAAAAATTATACGTCTCAACCTAATCATAATATTGAATTGTTTACACTTTGCTCACATAAAAGACATAATTAATATAAACATATTATTAATGCAATACAATATGACATATTTATTTATCATTTTTTAAAATGTTTTAAATTTAGCTACCCCCAATTTCTTGTGATTATGTCCTCTTCTTGGCCAGTCTCTCCATGAGAATTGACAAAGGTGTATTTCCCCTCCTTCCACAATACTATAGGTTCAAGTGAAATAATAAGCCCCAGTCATTACAACGTATTTTCGAAGTAGCACAAAATGCAACAATTGGTGTTGGTGTGGCGAATTAATCAAACATCAGCTCTAATACAGAGTCTTAAACTCTCCAAATTATGTCTTTTAAATACACAAATAAATGAAGACTTTTTTTGTGAAACAGGACAATTAATAATGGCATAGATTTGTAATTGCCTAATTTAAAGGCGATTTTATAGCAGTGTTACAGTTATGGGAGAGACTGCCTACATAAGTAAAAAAAACCGAAATCCAAAATTTAAATCTGATAAGGGTTGAATACTTACATGTACCAAGGCAGAGTAGTGTCCTCATCTAATGCAAACTCCCAGGTTATATTATCCAAGGTCTTTCTATATAAAAAACACAGAAAAAAAAAACATAAATAGAAGCAAGTGGAATTGAACTCAAATTAATCTATTCACTGCAACTGGGACAGGAAACTATTACTATAAATGAATGCCACCAAACCTATATATCTATGAAAATTTTAAAAAGAAACGAAACTATTGAGAATCATGATGTTTTTTAAACATAAATATGGAAGGTTACCTTTTAAAAAACTATTACATATATATTAATGAATTTTATAAAATGCCAGTACAGTTAAAGGTGTTTAAAACAAAAGCCAATGTTTTCATCATACTATTTGAGGTTTAAATTATAATACCGACCACAAAAGACAGTGCAATTGCCTTTGAAGGTACATATGAACAGAGCATTGGTGGAGCATGGATTCCCAGTAACATATATAAACCACTTCTACTAGTTTCTTATACAACTCAAATGAATTTGACACGCCAAGGGATAAACTGAATAAATCACTGGATCAGCCATAGAAGAGCTTTAGACTGCTCCTTTTTATGTACAGACACAGATGTGTCTGTACATATAGCCATCACCTACGTCTGTCATCACCATCGCTGTTGCCATCGCTGTTGCCGTCGCTGTCGCCGTTGCCGTGCACTTTTACAGTAAACACGAAAAGTGTAAAACAGTTTTACCTTTTGGCTTGAAACTTACAGAACTGATGAATATTCATAATACGCAGGTCAAGTTAAAAAATCAGCATGATTGGGCTATTTTTTGGGAAGTTAAGGGGTTTTTTTTTGCTTTTTTCAGCATATATGCAACACCGTAAACACAATAAGTGAAAACCGTCTTTTTGGCTTGAAACTTACAGAACTGATGAATATTCATAATACACAGGTCAAGTTTGAAAATCAGCATGATTTATAAAAGTTATGCTGTTTTTTCCATTTTTTCAGCATTTATGCAACACCGATAACACAATAAGTGGAAACCCATTTTTCTTTTTGGATTGAAACTTACAAATCTGATGAATATCTATAATACGCAGGTCAAGTTCGAAAATTGGCATGATCGGGCCATTTTTATGGAAGTTATGCTGTTTTTTTTTTCACTTTTTTCAGCATGTATGCAACACCTATAACACATTTTAAGGAAAATTGATTGGCCAATTGTCTTGTAATTCACAGGAGTGATCAGTATAACTAAGATACAGATTCAGTTTTGAAAATAAGTTTGATCAGTTAAGTTTTGGTTAAGTTATGCCTTTTTTGTATATAAGTGTTTTTTCTTTAAATTTAATTCTCACCATTCTCATTTTTTAACTAATTTAGATATGTTAAGTTGTTCTTTTGACATTTTCTGCATCTTAACAATATTGTTAGTTGATTATATGAAAATAACGGTAAACCTATTATTGTGTATTGTGTAATAAAGTGTCAAAAATGGAAATAAACTCATATCTTAACAGTTTGTCAGATTCAATTATTCACCATGTTCAGAATCTCTGAATGGAGGAAATTGGACATTTTAAATTGTTCTATTGATATTTTTCCTATGTCAATAATTTTTCTAGTTGATCATTTAAAAATGAAAGTAAATTGATTATTTTGCTTAATGTAAAAAAGGTGTTGTAAATGGAAATAATCCCATTTCTAGCTATCTCTTGTTTACATTTTGGCATTTTGAAAGTGTGACTCTGAACTTCCATGACCTTGAAGACCTCTCCATATCACATTTTCTGAATATCCATGATACTTTTATTTTTATGTACAGACACAGATGTGTCTGTACATATAGCCATCACCTGTGTCTGTCGTCGCCCTCGTCGCCATGTACTTTTACTGATAACATGATAAGTGGAAAACTTTTTTTTATTTCAGCTTGAAACTTACAGAATTGAAGAATATTCATAATAGGCAGGTCAAGTTAAAAAATCAGCATGATCAGGTCACTGGTAGGGAAGTTATGCTGTTTTTTCACTTTTTTCAGCATATATGCAGCACCGATAACAGGATAAGTGGAAAACCATTTTACTTTTTGGCTTGAAACTTTAAAAAATGATGAATATTCATAATACGCAGGTCAAGTTTGAAAATCAGCATGATCGGGTCATTTTTAGGGAAGTTACGCTGTTTGTTCACTTTTTTCAGCATATATGCAACACCGATAACACGATAAGTGAAATACCGTTTTACCTTTTGGCTTGAAACTTAAAGAACTGATGAATATTCATATCACACAGGTCAAGTTCGAAAATCAGCATGATCGGGCCATTTTTAGGGAAGTTATGCTGTTTTTTTCACTTTTTTCAACACATATTTAATACAGATAAAAGGAAAACCTTCAGCCTTCAGCCTTTCGTCTTGCAACTCACAGGAGTGATCAATCTGACCAGTATACAGATTAAGTTTGAAAATAAGCTTGATCAGTTAAGTTTTGATGAAGTTATTAGCCTTTTTGTATATAAGTGGTTTTTCTTCAGATTTAATTCTTAGGCATGTTAACAGTCTCATTATGGAACTAATTAGATATGTAAAAGCGTTGTTTTGACATTTTCTGCTTCTTAACAATATTGTTAGTTGATTACATAAAAATGATGGTAAACCTATAATCGTGCATTGTGTAATAAAGTATCAAAAATGGAAAGGAACTCATCATTGCAGTTCATCAGATTCAATCATTCACTATGTTCAGAATCTCCGAATGGAGCAAATTGGACATTTAAAATTGTTCTACTGATATTTTTCCTATGTCAACAATTTTGCTAGTTTAAAAATGACATTTAAAAATGACAGTAAATTGATTATTTTGTTTTATGTAAAAAAGGTGTTGAAAATGGAAAGAAAATCATTTCAGAACAGTTATCTCTTGTTTACATTTTGGCATTTTGAAAGTGTGACTCTGAACTTCCATGGCCTTGGAGAACTTTCCATATTACATTTTCTGAATATCCATGATACTTTTATTTTTTTATAAAAAAAATTGATGGTCATTATGCTGTTAAGTATTATGTTATATTGCATGAAAGTTGAAGAAAACCCTATTTTGGACACTGCTGCTAGGATAGCAATTAAGGGAAAACCATGTTACTTATGATACTCAAACTTACTGAAAAGTTTCATAAGACTGAAGTGCAGCTTGTGTTGGAAAACCAGTGTGATTGTTTTCTGTTTTGGAAGCAATGCAGTTCTTTAGAGTACTATATGGTGCAATAAATGTATATGGATAAAGGTGCAATAAATGTATATGGATAAATGAGATTACACAAAACACTCGTTGAGATTTCCCTGTAAAGTCCCATTGGTTTAGCTCTCTTACCATTGTATCCAGTTTACACTATACGATGTATAAAGTATTGGCTGAAATTCATTAGGATAGAACAGAGAAGTACCCCAGAGCTTGCTATAATATGTTGCGTACACTAGATGAACATGGAAGGACTAACTGGGTGACTAAAGTGAAACAAATAATTCATATGTATGGTTTTGGTTATATATATGCATGGATAGCACAAGATGTGGGTGTTATAAATACCTTTGTAAGCCAGTTTTTACTAAGGCTGAAGGACTGTGCTAGACAAAATTGGGTTGAAAGCATACAAAAAAGTCCAAAACTTTGTGAAAACTATGCATTGTTTAAGAGTTTGTTAGAACCTGAAAAATATTAATTTGATGTAAATATTAGGAAATAGAGAGTAGCATTTTCAAGATTCAGGGCTTCAAATCAAAGACTTGCAATAGAAACTGGTAGACATGAAAATTTACAAAAAATAGATAGAAGAAACAACAAAGACATTGACAGTGATCAGAATACATACAAACACATTCAATGTCACAACAGACAATGCACAGTGATCAGAATGTATACATGAAATTTTGTCTATATAAAGATTTACCCCCCCCCCCAACTCTGAAGAGTTAACATTAACCATTGTCACCTTAAAATATATATAACTTGAGTGGGATCTAATTAAGTGACCCTTTTTCAAAATAATAATTTCTAAAGGTATAACATATAGCGGCAATGGTCACAATGGGATTAAAGAGAATTGCCAGTGTAGCAATATCATTGTTGTACTGACCTGTGATGAGGCTGCAAGGTTGAGATGAGTTCAGCAGTGCTCAGAGAGATGATAATCCAGGAAACACCTTCATCTCTACTGAAAACAGATAATAAATCATCAATAAAAGATATATATGTAGACACAGACAGTAGTTATAACACAGAAATAACACCAGTGATCAAAATATATTATTATATTATAATAAACACATACAGCAACAATAAAGACATATATAGACAGTGATGAGAATACATACAGACACATTTTATGTCACAACAGACAATGCATAGGTATCAGAATGTATACATAAAATTTTGTCCATATGAAGATTTATGCTAAGCAAACCCTCGCCTCTCCAACTCTGAACAGTTCACATTAACCCTTGTCTCCTTGAAAATATATAACTGAGTGGGATCTAAGTGAACCTTTTCCAAAATAATAATTTCTCAGGTATAACATATAGGGGCAATGGTCTCACAATGGGATTGAAGAGAATCGCCAGTGTAGCAATATCGTTATTGCACCGACCTGTGGTGATGATGAGAGGTTGAGATGAGTCCAGCTGATCAGAATACATACAGACTCATTCAATGTCACAACAGACATTGCACAGGCATCAGAATGTATACACAAAATTTTGTCTATATCAAGATTTTTTGCTAAGTGCACAACTGCCTCCCACCCCCACCCAAATCTCAATNCAACATATACATGCACAGTAATCGAAATGAATACAAACAAATAGAGTGACAGAAATGCACAGAGCTCACAATAAATACAAAAACGAACAATAACGACACAAACATATACAGTGATCACAATAAATAGAAAAACAAACAATGACAAAACAAACATGCACAGCAATGATAATGATTACAAACAAATAGAAGGGCAAACAGACTTACACAGTGATCAGAATTTTATGCAGCCACAAACAGTAACAACAGAAACAAACACAGTGATCAAAATAGATATAAAATGAAAAAGAGATAACAGTGACATGCACAGTAATGAGAATGAACACAAGGGAAAAAAGTGTAAACAAGGCAATACACAGTCACCACAATATATACAAACACATTCAGAAACAATACAGAAAAGACACAGCAAACAGAATGTAAACAGACACATAGACACAGCATTGACAGCATGATCATTCAGCACAGTAGTAATGATTATAAATAAATAAATTAACAACACAAACATGCACAGTAATCAAAATAAATACAAACAAACACAGTCACAATACAGACATACAATGTGATCAGAATAAGTAAACATGTACAGTTACAACAGAACTATGTAAAGTAACCAGAATAAGCACAAATTAATCTAGTGATTACACAGTTATACACAGTGATCAATGATAGAGTGAAAAGAAACACATACAATGTGATCACAATATATTTAGAAAAACACACAATGACAAAACAGAATGGAAACAGCAATCAGGATATAAACAGACACATAAACTAAGCTTACATCAACAACACCAACATGCACGTTCATAATAATGATTAAAAACCTATAGACTTAAAAAACTGACATACAGATTGCTCAAAATAAATATAAACACAAAGAGTGACAACACTAACATGCACATTAATCGAATTAATTATGTGCAGACACAAACAATTATGACACAATCATACACAATGATCAAAATAAATATTAACATGTGAAGTGACAAGAGTAACATGCACCGTAATGAGAATGAACACAAGGAAAAAGAGTGATAACATAGCCGTACACAGTCATCACTATATATACAAACACATTCAGTAGCAATATTGAATAGACACAGCAAACAGAATATAAACAGACACATAGTCACACATTGACAACACCATCATTCAGCGTAATAGTAATGTTTACAAACAAAAAGAGTGACAAAACTGACTTACGCATTGCTAACAATAAATACAAACACCAACAGTAATAACACAAATATGAATAGTAATGTTAAAAAATACAAATAAACACAGTCACAATACAGACATACACAGTGATCAAAGTAAGTTGACATGTACAGTGATGACACAACCATGTAAAGTACGCAGTGATCAGAATATGTGCAGACTCAAACAGTAACAACACAAACATACACAGTGATCAAAATGAATATAAACATGTACATTGATAATAGCAATGTGCACTGTAATTAGAATAAACACAAGGAAAAAGACATGTAAATGTTAAATGAAAAACTGATAACAGTAACATGCACAGTAATGAGAATGAACACAAGGAAAATGTGTAAACAAAGCGATTCACAGTCATCACAATATATACAAACACATTCAGTAACAATACAGAAAGATACAGCCAACAGAATATAAACAGACACATAGACATAACATTGACAGCATGATCATTAGGGTAAGTAGTAATGATTATAAACAAATAAATTGACAAAACTGACATACACAGTGCTCAAAATAAATACAATCACAAACAGTGACAACACAAACATGCACAGTAATGAAAATAAATACAAAGAAACACATTCACAATACAGTCATAAAAAGTGATCAGAATAAGTTGACATGTACATTGACAGAACAACCATGTAAAGTAACCATGTAACTGTTATGAAAAAGAGTGAAAACATAGCCGTACACATTCATCACTATATATACAATCACATTCAGTAGCAATATTGAATAAACACAGCAAACAGAATATAAACAGACACATAGTCACACATTGACAACACCATCATTCAGTGCAATAGTAATGTTTACAAACAAAAAGAGTGACAAAACTGACTTACGCATTGCTAACAATAAATACAAACACCAACAGTAATAACACAAATATGAATAGTAATGTAAATAAATACAAACAAACACAGTCACAATACAGACATACAAAGTGATCAGAATAAATTTTGACATGTACAGTGACAACAAAACCATACATAGTAACTAGAATGAAGAATAATTAATTAGGTGATAGCACAGTCATACACAGTGATCAGTGATGGAGTGAAAACACAGACATACACAGTGATCACAATATATATACAAACACATACAATGACAATACAGAATGGAAACAGCAATCGGAATATGAACAGACACATAAACTATGTTTACATCAACATCACCAACATGAACAGTTATAATAATGATTTAAAAACATATAGACAGAAAAAACTGACATTAACATTGCTCACAATAAATATAAACACAAACATTAACAACACAAACATATACAGTGATCACAATAAATAGAAAGACAAACAGTGTCAAAACAAACATGCACAGCAATGATAATTATTGAAAACAAGTAGAAGGACAAACAGACCTACACAGTGCTGAGAATTAAATGCAGACACAAACAGTAACAACACTAACATACACAGTGATCAAAATAAATATCAATATGTATATTGACAACAGTAACGTGCATCATAATGACAATGAACACAAGGGAAAAGAGTGAAAACATAGTTGTACACATCCATCACAATATATACAAACACATTCAGTAACAATATAGAATAGACACAAAAAACAGAATATAAACAAAAACATAAACATACATTGAAAACTCCATTATTCAGCGCAATAGTAATGATTACGAACAAATAGAGTGACAAAACTGACCTATAAAGTGCTCACAATAAATACAAGCACCAATTGTAATGATGCAAACATATACAGTCATCACAATGAATACAAACATAAACATTGACAACATATACATGCACAGTAATCGAAATGAATACAAACAAATAGAGTGACAGAAATGCACAGAGCTCACAATAAATACAAAAACGAACAGTAACGACACAAACATATACAGTGATCACAATAAATAGAAACACAAGCAATGACAAAACAAACATGCACAGCAATGATAATGATTACAAACAAATAGATGGGCAAACAGACTTACACAGTGATCAGAATTTTATGCAGCCACAAACAGTAACAACAGAAACATACACAGTGATCAAAATAGATATTAAATGAAAAAGAGATAACAGTAACATGCACAGTAATGAGAATGAACACAAGGGAAAAAAGTGTAAACAAGGCGATACACAGTCATCACAATATATACAAACACATTCAGAAACAATACAGAAAAGACACAGCAAACAGAATATAAACAGACACATAGACATAACATTGACAGCATAATCATTCAGCACAGTAGTAATGATTATAAATAAATAAATTGACAACACAAACATGCACAGTAATCAAAATAAATACAAACAAACACAGTCACAATACAGACATACACTGTGATCAGAATAAGTAAACATGTACAGTGACAACAGAACCATGTAAAGTAACCAGAATAAGCACAAATTAATCTAGTGATTACACAGTCATACACAGTGATCAATGATAGAGTGAAAAGAAACACATACAATGTGATCACAATATATTTACAAACACAGACAATGACAAAACAGAATGGAAACAGCAATGGGAATATAAACAGACACATAAACTATGCTTACAGAAACAACACCAACATGCACATTTATAATAATGATTTGTCATTAAAATATATACAAACACATTCAGAAACAATAGTGAATAGACACAGCAAACAATTTATATAAACAGACACATAGTCATACATTGACAACACCATCATTCAGGGCAATAGTAATGTGACAAAACTGGCAAACACATTGTTCACAATAAATACAAACACCAACAGTAATGACATAAACATGAACAGTAATGTTAATAAATACAAACAAACACAGTCACAATACAGACATACACAGTGATCAAAATAAGTTGACATGTACAGTGATGACACAACCATGTAAAGAACACAGTGACCGGAATATGTGCAGACACAAACAGTAACAACACAAACATACACAGTGATCAAAATGAATATAAACATGTACATTGATAATAGTAATGTGCACTGTGATTAGAATAAACACAAGGAAAAAGTAAAACCATAGCCGTACACAGTCATCACAATATATATAGAAACACATTCAGTAACAATACATAATAGACACAGCAAACAAAATATAAACAGAAACATAGCCATACATTGACAACACAATTAATACAAACACAGACAGTGACAGCACTAACGTGGACAGGAATC